TATGTTAAAACTTTACAAAATAAAATTAACAAACTACAAACTCATGTTACCAAATCTAATTTTAACAATGTCCCAGGAATAAAATTAACCTATAGGTTAATTTTATTCCTGGGACATATAGATAAAAATATAACCCTATTTATATTTCAAGAATCATCAATTTTTTAATGCAAAGGCATTAAAGGTAATTTAACTAATGACCGCCATCCACCGCACGGTTGTAAGTTACAACTTGTAACAGCTTGCAGACGTGATTTTTCAATTCGCCCGACCTTTATTAAAGCGTTACACAGAAGTTACCAGCGAATAAATTTGTAATACCAACTTTTCTCTATTAAATAAATCGTCAAAAGGCAGACAGACTTGCAGCTCTAGGTACAACATTATTAAATTCCATTGACTTGAAAATGAGAGTAATTTATAAAATAAATGTCAACTACAATCTTTAAAGGTTTTGTAAAGGAAGGAAAAAATTCAATATGCAAATAAAAGTTTTAGTCATCCATCGACATGTCAATTTCGCACATATTTTGTTTAGTTTTTGTGAGATTATAATGGAATATTTAGATACTTTTGCATGGCATGTTTTTATTTTAAAATAACATATTTTTTTATTACTTTTTACCAATAGTCGCCTTCTCCCAGTTTAAAACCCGATTGGTTCAAATCACAATGAATATACGGCTAACAACGTAAATAATAAAAAAAACAATATTATGCACTAGGAGTAGATAAATAATATTATGTAGTATGTTAAGTTTATAGTTAATTTTAATATCCTTCCCAGTAAATACGAGGTGTGTTCAGAAAATAAAATAGTATATTATTATACGGAAGATAATGCGGATTTTTCCTTCCTCTGTCCGTAAGTTTGATTTCCAATAACTTTGTTAAAAATTATCGGATCTTATTGATTTAAAAACCAAGCGAAAGCCTAACAAGCCCTTAGTAAATTCTTTCAGAAAATGTTTGTTTAGCTATTTCAGAATAATTTGTTTTTAATTTTGAAACTTGTGAAACACACATTTTCGCATGTCCCATTAGCATTTTATAAAACTTACTACATGTTTTTTTTTTTAATATTAAATAATCAGAACTTTGTGTTGCTTTATAGCAATCCATAGCATCCTTAGTTAATACAGTAAACAATTTATATATAAATTAATTAATTTTAATATACTTTTTTTAAATTTGACTGATGACATTTTTTCCGTTGCGTTACGTCCGTCGCGTTACCGATGGAATATTAAAAAAACATATATATGGCAACTTTTTTGGCACTCACATGATCAACAAATAATGTTCGGACGTACACATTACCCAGCTGAATTTATTCATTCAATCAGGAAGAAGATATCGGTTGAAACAGGTGCGGGTAACGCGAATGTAATAATTGTTTGTCCGCTAAGTTACTCAAAAAAAAAATAATAATAATAATAAGGTAAGAAAAAATACTATTTTTCATGTTTATGTTTATTTTAGGGCACTAAAGCTCATTGAGAGTAATTTATGACTGTAATGTCTTATTATTATTTTTTAAATATGGTTTCACAAAACTTTTTCCACTGCGTTACCGAGTCCATTATGTTACCTTATGGTAACGCAATGGAATTTAGGGTAACGCAATAGAATTTTTCGACAACAAAGTGGATATTTACCGTCGCTTTTATTAAAAGTAGTTTATGATAAACCAATTTAAAATTATTTGTAATTACAACTTATGATATAAATTACGTCCAAGGGAAAATTCCACGCAATATACAAGTACTAAAAGGGACGCTTATAGCCAAAAGAAATCTAAGTTGTTATTGTGCAAGTGAGCACCACTACAAGGGATTTTGTTTATGCATTACTCTAAAATCGTACCACCCTATATAGTTTCTTTTTTACGTTATCTGATTAGTCCTTTGTGTACCCCAGTCTGTTGTGATACTAATGTCTTTTGCGATACTTTTTTAATTTTTGTTAAAAAAAATACTTAAAATGATTTTATACACTATCACTTGGTAATACATGTTTATAAATTAGAGTGACTAATACAGTGACTAAAAGAAAATATTAATGGTATTGTTTTTTTAACAAAGAATCGTAATGGTTTCTTTTAAAAAGTAACTTAACGAACATAAATATTTAAAAAAAGCATACAATTTTTAATAAAAAATAAAAGAAAAATTGGAGTCAAAAGTTTGAGAACTAAGTACATTTTATTTTAAAATATATACTTTTTTTATTGAATTAAATTTTGGATTTCAAATTGGTAACAGTTGAGATATACATATTACAATATTAAACACATTTTTCTGAAAAAACGTAAAAAAAAATAAAAAGTGCACTGCCTGTCTTAAATGTAAGTAAACAAAACTCTAAATATTTATAAAAATGCAACCAAAAGTCAATTTAAGCAAAAAAAATGTTGATCTTCATTTTTCTGAAAGCGGGTGTTTCTTGAAAATGACCCATATAAAAATCTGACATGTGTTAGAAAGTCCCAACCTAACTTTTTTCCAATTTGAAACTACAATGAATATTGAATTCAACCAATCACTAATAACGTGAATAATGAGTCATTATTCCCGTTGTTATGGGGGGTGGTTAATTTTAACAACAAATTTTTTTGAAATATGATATTGTCGCATGGGCATATATTATTTTTAAAGTATATGTTTTTCTTTTAAGTTTGCAATAATATTAAAGAACAAATATTATTTTTCAGCCTAAAGCAAAATTGTATCTAAAGCATATTTGACTTGAAAGTGTTATTGTTCCAACTGCACACTCAATTGTTCAGATATATTTAATATTTATTTAAAACCCTCACTTTGTCCGTTAGTGATAAGAAATAGTATTTGCCTCCAGCTATACAGACTGCATCAATAAAGTTGGCCTCAATTTATATTTTCCGACCAAATTTATAGGTCTTAATTTTTCAGCCTCGTTTTTAGTTTAAATGAAATTTATCAGTTGCTTTAAATAAAATATTATTTTTGGGCGGTATAAATTAAACGACGCTACGTATTTCATATTTTAAATTGCCTGGATATGAAAGGTTTATGTTTATTTATAAGTATTATTTTATGAATTTCAATGCTTTTATTATTATAAGTAAATCTATTTAATGATGTTTATAATTTTATTTTTAGATTATTTTATTGAGTTAAAGTTTTACAGCCATATAAATTAATACCTTATAACTTTTATAATAAGATATATAGGATATACAGGGTGAGTCATTTAACTTGAAACTTGAAAAATTTAAAATCAAAATTAAATGATTCGAAGGGAGAAATCAATCAGTACTAAAATGATCCTCCTTATAGGGGGGACAGTTTAACATTTCCAATTTAACACCCTATTTTTTACTGCAAATTCGGATCATTCGACTAAAAATAGGTAGATTTTGTCTAAAACATTTTTTCATATTTGTAATAGATGGCCCTCTAATGAAAAAAAATCAATTTTGTTCGATTTTTCTTCTGTATACGATTCTCCAATAATCCCCTTAAACTTTAAAGCAAAAAAATAATCACTTCTCAGCCTTATGACATAAATAACTTTTTACCACCACATTATTATGTCCTGAAATGGCGAGCGTGGTTCCTAAACGAGTTTAAGATAAAGGTTTATCTACAGGGTGTACCAAAAATGTTACACTAGCGCCTAGTTATTTTATGAAAAGTAACTTTTTTTAGAAGTTGTATAATATACAATGTATATATATATATGATAAACTCTAATGTTTAGGTCATCTTTTGTTTTAGTTGTTTCTATAATAACCAATATTAAATGTAGATTATTTCATCTTATGACATAAAGTTTGGCCGACTTTTCATGAATTAAAAACTACTTATCAAAAATTGTGTTTTTTTAATATCGCTAGTAGCAATTCCGGAAAAGTCTTGGCCCAGCATGGGTCAAGATACTTTGGACAGATTTTTGCTCAAGAATTGTACAAGAATTGTTCCAGATTCTTGGCCAAGATTATTGGGCAAGACTTGAGCCAGACTGTGGCCAGAATTTGACAAGAATTTGACCAGAAATCTGAGGCCATCTATTGCTAAACTTTGGGACTATCCTATAGAGTAGATGTTCTCATTCTACAGTAGTATCATTCACAATAATGTATACTAGTCGAGAAGTGAGTTCTCTGTAGGAAATGAGTATGGTTTTTTTGTTTATGTGAAAATACTAATAAGAGCTTATTGGATTCGTCTTCTAGGTAAAAAAAAATTGATTTTCTTGAAAAATAAAAATTGTTATTTCTTAAAATCAAAAATTAAAAAAAAAGTGTGTTAGCTCTGACGCATAACTAGAGTTTACTCTTTATGAACATGAAAGATTATAAAATACATGTTTATTTTTTCGGGTACCTCGTTTTTTTAAACATAGAAAATTAAAAACTTTAACTCTTTCAAAATTTGTTTCATTTTTAATTCTATTGTTTACCAGATTTATGGATAAAAACAGAATTTACTGAAAAGAAATCGTGGAAAATTAATGTTTTTAGTAACATTCTTAACTTTTAAAGTTCAACAAAATTTTGTATTGACCAAAAATCTTGAATTGAAAGTTCCTATTTAACGTGTAATCGTGTAAAAATTCTTGGCCAAAAATCTGGTCACAGACTTGTCCAAGTCTGCCACCAGTCTGGATAAAGAATTTTGATCAAGAGTCTTGGTCAAGAATTGTCCAATTCCATTGCTACTAGGGATAACTTCTACTATGGTAAACTTGGAAAGGTGATATTTTGCGAATAGTAACTTACTACCAAAACACATATTCAAACAAAACCCGTTTTGGTAGAAAGTGACTGTTCGCAAAATATCACCTTTCCAAGACTACCATAGCAGAAGTTATATTAAAAAAACTGATATGATAAGTAACACTTTATCACCCTGTATCTTGAATAAGATTATTCACAGCAGGAGAAATGAATGTCATTAATTATTAACAATTGCGAATACAATCGGCGCATTATTAACCACTTGACGTTTTGTTTTCAGGGATTTGGATTCCAATAAAATCGAGAAAATATCCACGAACTCCATAAAAATTAATGCAAATCAAATGTAAGTACGTGTAAAAAAATAAAATACACCTATATTAAAAAAAATTAAATCAACCTTTTTGGGAATCATTCTAAAACGATTTAAAGAAATATAACTAAATTTTGATCCAAAAAATTTCTTAAATTTCCTGCCAATGGAATCATATTTTTCGTGCTTTTTTAATCAAAATTTTAGCATTTATTCTGGATTATTCCATTTAACAAACATAAAAAACTAAATAATTTGCTCTATTTCAGGAGCATGAACTTCAATGAAATAACCTCGATAGAAAACTACGCTTTCAACGGCTCCCAGATTGGAAAGCTGTAAGTATGTCTACAAACATTTTCTACCTAACTCTATTGAATTCCACTTCTTATCCTCTGATAGACAATTTTATATTTATTCTGCACTGTTCTCAACTTAGCAAACAGCACTAAATAAGTACAAATAAACAGAAAAAAGAATCTCAAGTTTACAACTCATTTGTTAGTCATGTATTGGTTGGTCCCAATTTTGAACACGCTATGGTACAACAAATAAGAGTTCTTATTGCTATTTATACTTTTGTGCAACGCATTTAGACCAATTTACTTTAAAAAATATGTAAAATTGTCACGTTATGCTTTTTAAAGCTTCAAAGCTTTTAGCTGATTGATTCAGGACTTTAGTCTAGGAATGGGGTTGATATTAATCTAAGCTGACAAAAAGTCAATATTCGTAAAATACGAACATTTAAATAAATTGTTTCTCTTATAGCCATTAATTCGTAGCAATTTTTTAAGCACAATTTACTTAATAAATCAACAATTTATCTTTATATTTAACTCTTTAGATATACAGGGTGTTCAAAGTTATCTGCTCACCATTGCTAACTTCGTTATTTTTAAAGCTATGTCGCACAGTGGGCTGCAGAGCCAATTTAAGGGGCAGAAATTATTTGTTTAAGTAATTCTTAGTTAATGTTAATTTTTTTGGTCTTATTGATAAAATTTTAATAAAAAATCACTTTTTACTACCAATAGAAAAACAAATCCAAAATATAATACTTTTTGTGTGATGGCAAATTTAAGATGTATAGTTTTAATGGGTAAATTACAAAAATATAAGTAAACATTTATAAAATAAAACCTAATTGTTACGTATGACAGTATATTATACAACAATATTACTTCTGGGCTTTCAGCGTTTTTCTATAATTAAATTTTTGAATTAAGTTTTTTCCGAGATACATTAATTTTTGTAAATGCATAGTCTACTAAGTAATTTAAAACTAACTTTCTATTAAAATGCTTCAAACAAAAAATATTTGTGGCGCCTACTAGCACTTGATTTTATATTTATTTAAAAAACACTTACACAGAGTGTGAGAATGCGTGGCATTTTTTAAAACCTTAGTATTGTTCATACATACATACAAAATATGCAGCGCTTTCTTTATTGACGAAGGGACAGTACAATAATTATAAAAACTTACCATTATTTGTTCCAGCCATAACGTATTCCAGTATTGAATACAATGATGGTCAAAAATTAAAAATAAATTAGGAATTAACATTGTAAGAGAATCAAAACCTTCACGTGTAATTTACCACAAAGCAAGTAATTATAATTATTAAACTTTAACTGGTTACCTGATAAAAATTCAACAGATTTTAAGGTGATATAACATTATTTGATTTGCTACAGATATTAAAGAATTCAAAATTCACTAAATTTTGTCGAAATAAAACACTTAATTATTTTGAATTTCTGCGCGCTGGAAGTGCTCTCTAGCCTACTGTGTGTCGGTTGAATTAGCAAATTTTAGCATTGTTTCCTCTAAATAAAATGTTGAAATATCCACAAAAATAACATTTGTTTAAATGGAACACCCTGTATATTTTTACTTATTTTGGAAGACAATTAAATTTGGAACAAAAAATTAATATTGCATAACTACTCTAAACTTAAAAATAAACAATTAATAAGCACTTGAACTTTCGGATTGTTAATATAAAGTATTAATTATATAAATATACAGGGTGTCACCTAACAAATTGTCATCCTTTGGGGGGGTGATAGTGCAAAAATGATAGAGGAAAAACTTTCTTATTTTGACGTGTACTACCATCCCCTAAAAGGATGACACTCTGTATAAAAATATACATAATATAGTTTCATTTTAAGCAGTCTCGACCTGCTTGACCGAAAATTAATTTTCACCAAATTAAAGTTCAAAAGGGATTTAATTTTTCGGTAAAATCAACTTTACCAACATAGATTTATTTTCTTTTTAGATTAACTTAGCGACTTGGATCCTTTTTAAGCTGTAATTTGGTGAAAACTGATTTAAGGTTAAGCAGGCCGAGTTAGTAGAAAATAAAAGCCGTACTAATATTTGTTTGGTATATTACACCTAATATATCTCAAAGTCAATCACACTGTATATAAAGCAATTTCAAAGCTATTAATAAAAAACTATTTATTTTTATTTTTTAACACCCAAAAGAACGCAATTTCGGTTCCAAGTTCCAACTTTTTTAATAAACTTTTTTTCTTAAAATCATCCTGTATAACTAAAGAGTATAACCAATTAAAAAAAATATTATATTTAATAATAGTATATATAGTATATACTAAGTTCGCAAACTAAGAAAACTATTCTGAACTAAACTAAAACAAATTTGTTTCAGACATTTTAATGGCAATCGCAAACTTAGGACACTTTATCCGGAAGCGTTTGCTGGGATGAAAACATTAATAGAATTGTGAGTACCATTTTTATATATTTAATGGATTATTAGTTTTTTTAATGAATTTGGTTAATTAATTGAATATGTAAAAAACGTATATTATTTTTTTATTTCTGCATTAGAATAAGTATTATAGTTTTTTAAATTTTTTTAACCAAATTTATATATAATTTTTTTGGTTTTTAAATTTTTTATACCTTTTTTGGGTTTACAATTTTTTTCTATTAAAAATTTATGGACCCTAGTCCTTATTTTATTTTTTCCAAAAATTTCCAGAACCTAGGATTTTTTTACGACGTTGCCAAATTTCCAAACATTCCCAGAATCACAGGATTGCTTTTTGCAGTGTTGCCAAATTTCTAAAAAATCCTAGAACTTTTCAAAATCTTTACGATAAGTCATCTTGCACTATTTAGCGGTGTTGCCGAATGTATCTATACTTTTTTTGCTTTTTAATTTTTTATACCTTTTTTGGATTTACAATTTTTTTCTCTCAGAAATTCGTGGACCAAACAATTTTGTTTTTTGTTTTTAAGGTGTTGCCATATTTCTAAAAATCACATAATTTTTCAAAATATTTAGAATACCTTTGGAGGTCATCTTTAAAAAAATTCAGTTCGGTTTTGTCGCTTGTGGTGTGTGCTTCGCTCAATGAAATAGTATGAAACATTGATGCCTTTTCGACCCAGAAGAGACAAATTTGGATTCCTGGAATAAAAATATACCTGTATTTTGGGACAATATGGCAAGCTTTGACCTTTTAGAGATTTATTTTGTAATTTGTACAATAGATTGAGTGAATTTTTCAAGATTTAAAAGTTCAAATTTGCAAAACTTATGTGTTTCTTTGCCTTTCAGGCTGCAACGGAGCAACGGATCGACGTGATATTAGTATTTTGTTTTTGTTTTTTTTGTCAATAGGCCATGTACACAATTTCTTTTGCGTTTTGACTTTGGCCTTTTTTCTTTCCAGCTAGTACGGCCATTTCAAGCGGATGGACGGGACAAATCACAAAACTGTTTTTATAAAAAAAATTGTAGCTAATTTATTATATATTATTTTTGCATCAAAATTGTCAAAAAAATTCTTCTATTATAAGGGTATACATTAAATAAAAAAAATCGCAAGAAATATTGTATAAAAGTAGAGATAATTTCAATAATTGACAGGGATGGACGGGACAAGATAAATCTTTTTTTTGTCCCGTCCACACCTTTCAATTATTAAAATTATATCTACTTTCATAAAATATTTCTTGAGTTTTTTTTTATTTAATGTATAACCTAATAAAAGAAGAATATTTTTGCCAATTTTGATGCCAAAATATTATATAATAAATAATCTACAATTTTTTTTATAAAAACAGTTTTGTAATTCGTGCGTTTCGAGCGCTTGAAATGGCCGAGTATGCAATAAATTGTATTAATGAATTAATTATTTTTTACCAAATAAAATTAACTTTTTTAATGATAAATAACCATGATCTTATTTTTAATTAATTTATATTTAAAGTGTAGCATTAACACAAAAAATATAGCAGGTACGTTACAAGTGTTAATTTAAACCGCAGCAGTTTTTTGGTTTCAGAGATCTGTCGTCAACAGGCATTGAAGCGCTTCCTGTAACAGGACTTGAGGAACTCGAAGTGCTTAAGATTCAGGAAACGCCTACTCTAAAGACCATCCCAAGTATTTACGATCTTGCGGTACGTTAAATAAAGCTTTTAAAAATAAAAGAAAAGTAACATTGGATATTGAATATTTCTAGGATTCTTTGTACAAAACAGAAAATTAACAAATGAACCAAAAAGTATTGTGAAATGTATTTTAAAAGTCTAATATTAATTTTGACATTCTATAGTTTTAACAAAATTTACAATTTTTCTTAAATATGTTTGGTCGTATTTATATTTAAACTTGGATAACAGTCTAAAATATGCTTTAACATCCTTTATTTATGTTTTTTTACACTGTTATGAAAATCAGATTTGTTAACATTAGTTTGTAGTTTTTTAATTTTATTTTGTAAAATTTTAACATAGGAAAATGTAAAAGTTTTTTTAAGGGTAATATGCAATTTTGTAAGCTTTTGTTAATTTTAAAGGTTACAGATTATTTTGATAATATTTAACAAATTATTTTGTTGAAAACCAAGAATAGGTTGTCACAAACAATTTATGACAACATTTAATAGGTATATTTTGTTGACAACAAAAAATTATACGTAACTAAATAAAATATGAACTTAAAAAGATAATTAACATTATCAGCAATAAAATACTACAAACCTAATTTATCAATGTCGTATACATGCACCAAAACAAACACTTTTTCTAATGTGAATTAATTAAGCTCGTACTATAATTTTTAACATGCGTTTTTGCCGGAGATATAAATTGCATTTGTCCAAAAACGCATGTCAAGGAAAATAAAATAATTGTAGACTACAAAATTGTGAAATGAGTCGGACCCTCTTTACATTTTAAAACAACTGTCTGTGATTATGAGGCCAGACAGCTTTTTGCCGGGAATTAATTGCACCTTTTTAATCTCACCGTTTATAAAATCTAAGTGTATGAGTTAAAATTAAAAAAGCCATAACTTTACCCTTTGATTTAACACCTTTATTAGCTTCTAAATTAGTATTTTAAAAGGCCCAGTCACTAGCATTTAGCAATTTAGCATTGGACGCGTCGGGGACATATGGAATTTCATTTTTTTCTTACCTAGAAAGTTTCTAACCAAAGTCTAACTAAAATTGTTTAAAATTTTACTAGAAACACTTAAATTAAATTTATTTAGATAACGATTAACATAATATATTTTGTCTGCTCTTCTTTTTATCCGCTCTTCTAACCTAAAGCTATGCATCATCCATTTATTTACTACAGTTTGTCTGGATTTTTTATTTATAAACCTCTAATGGATCTCTTTAATCTGCTAACCGAAGGGGAATACAATCATATTTTTAGTTGACAACTTTTTAATTGTTTTATTATGCATAATCAATAATATAAACTGTGATAAAAAAGTCAAAAACAGAATAAAATGTAAATTTAAGATACCAACTAAAAATAAATTATATTTACGATCCATTTGTAAAACACAAGTAAAACACAAAAACGATATATAGGGTGTTATTATTATTATTATTATTACTTATTCAATATTCATTTTTCATTTTTCTTTATTCATTATCATCATTCATTATTCATAATTCATCATTCATTATTCATCATTCATCATTCATCATTCATTATTCATTATTCATTATTCATTATTCATTATTCATTATTCATGCAAAACGGAGAAAATCCTCATTTTTTTAATAGGATTTATCCATCGGACGACGTACTTCATCTAAATATGTCCTTACGTTTGCAGAAAAATAGGGTGGGGCTCCATCATGCCTAGACATCATCGACAATCTTGTTAATTTTTGTTTTTCAAACGTTTCAAATAATACATTTTACAAGAAAACCTTAAATGAGGAATTTTTATTAAAAATTGTACAATAATCCTTTAAATTAAAGGATTTAATGCTGGCAGGTAACAAGTGACCTTGGTGCGCAATTGATAATTATCACCGAATGAAATAATGTATAAAACTTAAACTCAAATATTAGTTAAAAAATCGTGGGTACTTACTTAAACAAATAAGATTTAATTATATTTTCAAAAAAAGTGATATTTTTATAGAAAAATTATTGCAGAATCGTATAAGAAGAAAAATCGAACAAAATTGATTTTTTTTCATTACAGCGCCACCTATTACAAATATGAAAAAAAATTTACACAAAATCTACCTATTTTTAGTCGAATGATCCGAATCTGCAATAAAAAATGGGGTGTTCCATTGGACATTTTAACAGGGGGTAACTGTTCCTCCTATAAGGAGGAGAGTATGAGAACCAATTTTAGTACTGAATGATTTTCCCCTTGAATCATTTAATTTTTATTTTAAATATTTTTTCGTAAAATGCATACTACCTGAGATATTTCAAAGTTTCAAGTTAAATGACTCACCCTGTATATATGTATACATAAATGACCACAAAAATAACATACACACAATTAAATAACACACCATTTTAAAATCATCAAATTATAAAGAAATTTGGTACAATATAACTACTTTACTCACTTGACTGTATCCCCTAAATTCAGTTTAAAAAGGAATGATGGCATCTTTTTTCGGATACTTCGCACACTTGTTCAATAGGTATAAGCAATCCGAATAACAATAATAACAGATTTCTGGTAATAGATTCTAAAGATTGGACAGTTTTTACGAACACGTTACGAATTAGAATAAAGTAAGCAGAAACAATTTGTTAAACATTAACAAAATAATCTGTAACCTTTGAAATTAACAAAATTGCTTACAAAATTGAGTATTACCTGAACAAAATAATTACAAACCCTGGTTTTCTACAAAAAAAATTGTTAACATTTTACAAAATAAAATAAAGTAAAAACTCATGTTAACAAATCTGATTTTTATAACAGTGTATAATTAAATAATTAGAGGGAGAGAAAAGTAAAGTAAAAAGTAAATTCATCCTTTTAACTTCTAGGGTTCATACTATTGAATTCGTATAAAATTCCCTGACTTTTCCAGGTTTTCCAGAACTTTCTCAAGCTTTTTCCATAGACTGTGGAAGGTGTCAAAAATTGATATTGATATTCAGGCAAATAGGAAAAAAATAAAAAATAGAATTTATACTTTGCTGCTTTAATAACAGACCATAAAAACAAAAATAAATACATATAGCATAATTCATATTATATGTGACCTGGACTATAGAAAGGTACCTATGGTCGGAAGAATAAATTTTTGTTTTTTGATCGAAATTTATAAAAAATTTAACGTATTTTTTAATGGAACATACCGCAGACTCCTAAGTTTAAAACTTTTGCTGGAAATCATCCTTAAAGTTGAACATTAGGGTGAGCCAAAAAAACTAACCTATAGGTATATCGGATTTATGGGTTAAAATGAACCTACATACCGAGCAAAAAATTTCCCTGCAAGGCAAAATTTTTTGCTCAATTTTAAAAGGTGTCGGTGAGCATTCTAAGTTTTCCATTGAAATAACACGTAAAAAAATCGTTTTTCATTAAAAAGACTATAACTTTTGAACCGTTTGAGATAAAAAATTTTACGTCGCGGATTCTTGTAGAGCATAAAATTTCCCAAAGAATCTATACCATGATTATTTTTTTAATTCAAAAATTCGTATGTTTGAAAGCTTTGAAAAGTGTAAAAAATCACTAAAACTGCAGTTTGTAATAAAATTTTTTACGTCGCGGATTCTTGTAGAGCATAAAATTTCCCAAAGAATCTATACCAGGATTATTTTTTTTAATTCAAAAATTCGTATGTTTGAAAGCTTTGAAAAGTGTAAAAAATCACTACAAACTGCAGTTTTAGTGATTTTTTACACTTTTCAAAGCTTTCAAACATACGAATTTTTGAATTAAAAAAATAATCATGGTATAGATTCTTTGGGAAATTTTATGCTCTACAAGAATCCGCGACGTAAAATTTTTTATCTCAAACGGTTCAAAAGTTATAGTCTTTTTAATGAAAAACGATTTTTTTACGTGTTATTTCAATGGAAAACTTAGAATGCTCACCGACACCTTTTAAAATTGAGCAAAAAATTTTGCCTTGCAGGGAAATTTTTTGCTCGGTATGTAGGTTCATTTTAACCCATAAATCCGATAGGTTAGTTTTTTTGGCTCACCCTATTGAACATGAATTATAAAAATCGCGAAAAAAGTTATAAATAGATCAAGAATTGCTTTTTTTGATCTTTTATTTTCGTCAATATCCTGAAACACAAATCTGGTACAACGTCATCTTCTATGTCACTAACACCTGCACCTCCACCTTGATCTTCATAATCTTCATCACAATCCGCAAAACATTGTTTCTCCTCTGCTTTAAATTCTTTTTTTAAATCCATTATGCACTTTCACAAACTAAATCAACTTTAAATTAGCTGCATAACAAAGAAAAACCACGATCTCTAAAATACAATGATAAGAAAAGCAGCACGTATTATTCCAACTTTTTCAACGTTCACAAAATTAGCTATTTAGGAGAAATCACTTGAATAAGGTACAAAAATATTTATTGTAAAAGCACCACTGTATAATGAAAGTCTAAAGAGAGGTGGAGAGCCAAGGGTAAGACGAAAAAAGAAAAGGTAGAAGCGCAAGTACAAACGCGACAGTACTTGTTATCTTTAACAGCTGTTTTCTCGAAAACTTGATTTCTTACCATAGGTAGCTTTCCGTAGTCCAGGTCAAAGATATTATCTTTGGTCCAGGTCACATATGTAATTCAAAAATAAAACTTTTTTAGATCTTTTAAAATTTAACTTTACAGTTATAACAAAACATAGAGCATATTTCTCGTAAATAAAAACAAAACAAAATACAAAAATAAGTCAAATAACTCAATATTTGTTGACGTCTATTGATACTGTCCACTTCATGGTTGGTTCCTTCAGTTAATTTTTGTTTTTTTGTTTTCCAGAACCTTGATTTCCGTTATTAAACAATTTTTCACAATTACGAGAAAGACTTGTAATGTTACTTTGACTTTTGTCAAAGACAAACTGACAGTTTCACGATAAGGTAGTTACATTAAAATTGCCCAAGCATTTCATTTATATTAAATCATAATGTAGATTGTGTAGGTATTAAGTAAATATTATTTTCTTTTATATTATTATTATTATTTTAAGTATTAGTATTATTTACAGGTAATTCCCTGACTTTTCCCTGACTTTTCGTTTTTTCTTAAAATTCCCTGACTTTTCCATGACTTTTTAGACTCATTTTATATTCCCTGACTTTTCCCGGATTTCCCGGTTTTCCCGGTCGCTACGAACCTTTTAAGAATCTTTTCATATTTTATCTCTGTTTCAGAAGTTAAAAAGAGCCGCCTTGACGCACTCATTCCACTGTTGCGCCTTCAAATACCCCGAACAGCATCATCCGCAGAAGCACGCTGAATACCAGCAGAGGATCAGAAAGTTGTGTCCAATCGACACCGGCCAGCCGCAGCAGCAGGTGCCGGGGACGCCTGCGACGCCGGCCAAAAGGCGTCGGCGTCGCCACGACAGGAAACCGCGTAGCGATAGGAACGACGAAGGAAGCGATGACGCGGATAATTGGGGAGAATCTGTCGGGTAAGTTGCGATTAAATTGGCTGTCCCATTTAGAGAAATTCTTGGAAACGACAATTTACGTTTAAATCATGTGTTTTGAAGAAATATTTTTTTGGATTTTTCGAGAAAATTTACAAAACATGCTTTATCTCCACGCGGTCTATAATTTAAACTTTATTGTTGTCAACATTCGATAAAGAAATACCTTGTTATGGCCTAGGTCGATAAAAAATTTTATGAGGCAAGTAATTAGTTCGATTTTTTCTCGCTAGGGGTATTGTTTTGAAAAATTAATCCTTTTCTAAGAAATGAACGCACTAAACTGGTTTAATTTATTTATAATAACCACTAATTTGTTTGTTTTACTGTTAATGTTTAATATTTTTCATTAAATTATTGTAAAATTAAATATGAATAATAAAACAAAAAGTGAGGTTAGGCAACCAAGAAAACACACGATTCTTTTTCTACGATTTAAATTATCTTTAATTTTAATTTGCTTTAAGTTTTCAGTGAAATTAAATGTTAAACACAGCTTAAACATTTCAAACTACCTATTTTTTAAATAAAAATCCAAACAAATTGAAATTAGATACCTACCTATTTATTAAACAATTAATTGAATTCAATGTAATAGCAAAAATCCATTTCTACTTAAATCATGTTGCTAGGTATTGTCAAACTATTACTGCTTCTAAAAGCAATAATAATTATTGTACATTTAATGTAATCTTTAGCTAATAAATAAATGAGATTCTAAACAAGTGAGGTAAGGCCGCTTTGATGTTGAATTAAATTGACCTATATAGTGCTTTGAAGATAAAATGTTGTATGCCATTCGGCCAAGAAGTGCCTTTCTGTGCTTCGCTCAATGGTAACCTTGAGCTTATCACAAAAAGCCTTACTTCTTAAACTAATGACATAAATAACTATTTTTCCCGATTTTTCCTTTTTCACACAAGATATCAACAGCTAAAGATTTTTTAAAACCCACAATATTTTTGATGTGAAACTTTTTTGGACCTCCACCCCCTTTGCCACGTGACCTCGCTGCGATGCAGTGATGCCATTATGGCCTATAACACAGTACAAGACGATTTTTCTCCCATGAAAACAGATTTAAAAAATAAAGGTTAAAAAAACGTACCCGTGTCTCACGGTTTCACGAAATCACGTCATTTAATTTTTTTACACAGCCATTCTTATTATTTTACGTAAACATATTTTGAATTCTCTATTTTGTTATAAATCAATTTTTTTCTTCAAATATTTTATGTTTTTACATAATACAAAAATTATACACTCACAGGCAAAATAATCGATCCACACAAATTTTCGATGAATTTCAATCACAAATAACTTTTTTATTTGATGTCGGATTTAAACAAACATGAAAGAATATTGTAGATACATTAATGGAGAATCGCTCACATTTTAAAAATTACCTAAAAATTCACGTACGTTTATAATATACAGGTTTAAACAAAAATATGTTTTTTACAATAAGTTTAAGAAACTCTGTAGAGTGTCAAAAACGTATATTGTTCTAAATTGTGTTTTAATTATCAAGTCACACCTATTTTGAACAGTTTTGTTTTTGGTTCACCTTGATATATTTATTTTTGTGAAAAATATGGATTTAAAAAAAAAACATTGCAATTTCCAATATTTTTCCTGTATAAAGAACTAAGGTTGCTATGGTCCATCCATAGCCTATGGAGGATGACAGTAACAGTTTTGTTGAATCATCCCATACTTGGACATGTCATATACAGCTTTCAATTTGAAAGTTTCAAAAGCTATCAAATTGTTTTTTGTAAATTAATGTGTTAATTTTGAGGTGTCTTCTTACTTTTAAAAATGTCTCCGACTGATGTTGCACTTTGTACTTTACTTCTTGTGACGTTTAAAACACTTGCCACGTAATACTGTGACCGTCCATCCTGGATTAAATTAATGGCTCTGGCAACATCAGTCGGAGACATATCCATTTTTTAAAGTAAGAAGACACCTCAAAATTTATACATTAATTTGCAAAAACAATTTAATAGCTTTTGAAAGCCGTGTATGACATGTCAAAGTATGGGATGATTCAACAAAACTGTCACTGTCATTCTCCATAGCCTATGGATGGACTAGCAACCTTAGTTCTTCATACAGAAAAATATTGGAAATTGCAATGTTTTTTAAAAAATCCATATTTTCCACAAAAATAAATATATCGAGGTGAACCAAAAACAAAACTATTAAGAATAGATGTGACTTGATAAATAAAACTTTAGAACAATATACGGTTCTGCCACTCTAAAGAGTGTTTTAAACTTATGGTAAAAAACATCTTTTTGTTTAAACCTGTATATTATAAACCTACGTCTATTTTTTAGTAATTTTTTAAAATGTTAGCGATTGTCCATTAATTTATCTACAATATTCTTTAATATCCGACATCAAATAGAATTGAAATTTATCGAAAATTTGTGTAGATCGATTATTTGCCTGTGAGTGTATGTACTTAAAGAAAATAACAATTTTATTTTTAAGTAAGTAAAAAAATATTTCTGGTTTTAATTTTTGATTTTTTTTAATAAAACAACAGATTTGTATTAATCCTATATTAAATATACCTATATTGGAAACAAATCTTGATCTTTTAGTTTGACGATAATACATTGCTTTTGAATCTATAGTGGTATCACAACCTAAAAACACCACCTGATATACAGGGTGTTTCACATTCGTGGTCCATTGGAAGTTTCTGGAAAACGGAAAAAATATAGATTTAAAATTTAAAAGCTTTTATAATCCATTATGTCTATTTTTTTTTTTAATATTTTGGAAAAAATGCAACTTTGACCGGAAGACATCAACTTTGTTATTTTAAATAGAAATAGAAAATTACTATACCAGGTCTTATACCAAAAGTAAATAGTTTTCTAGATGTTTGCTATTAGGTTTATGGATATGGGGGTAAAATGTTTGGAATCTTAAAAAATTTCATGTCAATTCTTTAACATTTTTCAACAAATTACCCGAGAAACTCCAGGGCAAATTGGGCTAACTTGAAACGTTAATAACTTTTTTATTTTAAATGTAACACCTGGTATGTTAAGAAATTGACATGGAATCTTTTAAAAAATGTTTTAAGATTCCAAAATTCCACCCCCATTTCCTCAAACCTTATAGCAAAAAAGTTATAGGCTATTTTTGATTGACGCGCATTTTAACGGAAAAAATTAATAACTCCAAAACTATTTGCTCTGGGTAAAGGACATGGTACAGTAATTTTACTCAAAATTTTATGTAGAATTTAAAAATGTAAAAATATATGGGGTGTTCCATTTAAAATAACAAAGTTGATGTTACTTCCGGTCAAGCCCAAAGTGGTATTTTGTTTAAAATATTTTAATTGTATTATAAACGCTTTAAAAATTTCAAATCGATATCTTTTGCCGTTCCTCTCAATGGACCACGAACGTGCAACACCCTATATATAATTAAAATAATTTAAAAATAAATAAATAATCTTAACGTTTGTCCATTTATTCAGTGAATAAATTTTTCGTAAAAATATACTGTCTAGCTGTTATCGAATCTGTTATATTTTGTGCCCATTTTAACATTTTATTGGATCGCACTTAAAAAAATTACGTGATCTGAAAAAACGCCGATACGAGTATCATTTCTTTAGGTCTATTTTCAAAATCTATAGAAATTTTTGATGGAAGGGAAAAAATCAAATTTTGTCGTACTGTGTAATTTATGTGCGCTTTATCGCAATTTTTCGCGATTTAAAAAAAATTGCGATATTTTTTTATATAGGTACATCCTCGGGTACACCTCAAATCACAATTTTGTCGATTTATCAAAAAATAAATTTTTCTTTAAATTATAGCTGTTGTGCTTCATTAATTTCAAGATTTTATCCTTTTTGGAAATTCTTTGAATTCAAACTTGAAATCTACATTCAAGTCGCAGCTATTTATAGGTATTTACAAAAATTTCATCAGCAACGTGTCCAAACATTGGTTTCAAAGTAATAATAATGAATATTTATTTTTCTACTCCCAACATTAAAAGGCCCATTATCGTATATGTTTCCATGACACTAAGTGACCTTTTAAATACACATTGACAAGTTGTGGCTTATATAAACTTTTGTACTGACCTTTTGATTTCGTCGTAGTAGTGCAGTAAACTAAATAAAGCGTTAAACATTTTTGCGTACATTGCCCTTAAAACATTCTCTTCTCTTTTACTGTGAAAAACTGCTTCTATATCGAGTGCCTATTTTTAAGGAATAAATTTTGATTAACACAGAAAAATTTGAGATTTTAACGCCGGTAGATTTCCAAGTTAGAAATTCTAACCGAAATTCAAATAAAAACAACAATACTTTGTGATAATATTTTGCAATTATATAATAAAAAAATCAAAGAATAAACAAATTTCTTAAAATAATCATTTTTTGGGCAATGTTAATGGTAAAAATTACGTTAAAAATGTTTATTGTTATTATTGTTTATTTAATTTAGGTCTTTTTTAGATAAAATTAAGTATTTGTCGTAGAAAAAGTATAGTATGCAACTCGTTTATAAACTTTTCTAGGCACTCATTTAATTAAGCACTCGCTAGCAACAATAGAAAAGTTTGGTTAGAATAACTGACCGATAAACACTTTTTTGACAGCATTCCAAAATTAGTTCGTTTCTATCAACCGCTAACCGACCAAAATCGTGGTATCAGTCATCAAAAAAATAATTTTGCAACATAACTTAACATAACAATTCAAACGCATATCATCACTATCAAATAAATATTGTAATAATTGTAAGCACTAAAAACAATATTACATACATAATGATTATGCAAATTATCAATTAAATAAAAACAAAACACAATTTAATGAAATTTTTCAAAAGAGTAGTAATTAATAACAAATACTGTCTATTGCAGCTCGCAATAATTACATACTAATATTGTTATAAGCATTTGATAAAATGAAAATTAATATTTTTATTAAA